AAGCCATGTGGAATCTCCCCATAAGCAATCCATCCCCTGCATATCGTTTTCTGCAGACCACAGAGGAAAGTTTATGTTAATAATCGCCCAGTAACTTTGCCAACTAGAATTTGGCTATAAGTGAGCTAAGAAGGCTGGCAGGGAAAAACTTGGATACATCCAGCAAGTTCTTGAGAAGTTTCAGTTATCCAACAGGGAGAGCAGCTAGCCATTGGGTTAGATCAATGGTCTCCAACCTTGGCAGCTTTTAAGACTTGTGGATTTCAACTCCCAGAATTCCTCAGCCAGCATGGGAGTTGGAGTCCAAAAGTCTTAAAGTTGCCAAGGTTGGAGACCCCTGGGTTAGATCCCAGCAGGCCAGCAACTTCTGAAGGCTTCTTTACCAGAGTGGACAATTGCATCCATGCTCTGTTTAACTGGCTTCCTGCAAAAGACCCATGATAGGCTTTCTCGAGGTCCTAGAGGTCTCATGTATTTGGGCCAGGTTCTTATGTTCCAAGCAAGTGCTATCAGAATAAGGACACCTATGTGAAGGACCAGGAAACCATAACATTCTCCTGAAGTTTCTGAAGAAAGGTTCAAAAGGCTCCTGGCAGTTGGGAAAGATTGGACTGAAGGAGGAACAGATTTTCTGGATTATACTAAAAAATTCTACAGTTAGATTTGCAGGATAACCAACTTTGTTTAAGTTGGTTTTTATTTCATGGATACATCTATGAAACTTTGCCATGGTCTAATTCTGGGAGTTTGGGGCTTCTCAGTTTAGCATTCTGGGATTCCTTGATGGTTACCCATCCAAACGCCAGCTGGGTCCAACCCTACTTAGTTTTCAGTGCCATGAAGCTTTTGAGATTTATTTTTCCCAATTGTTTCTCTCTCCAAAAATACTTGGAATGAACATCAATGTGATACAGCCCCATTGCTAGTTGAATGCACAGAGATAGGAACAGGAATTCTTTGGAAGCAGATCCTGCTTTAATAGACAGGATAGCTGGGCTCGTCCTTTGCACTACGCCCAAATGGGATTTAAATCCGAGCATTGCATAAAACCAGGGGTTGTGATTTCTAAATACTGGTTTTATGACTTAGCAGGGTTTGCGAATCTCCCCTGTTTGATTTATTTGGCCTACTGTGATTAAAGTATGGCTTAGCATGAGGTGCAAAATTAATCAGAACATTGTGAGCAGCTATAAAGCAGAGAATAAGGACCTGGATGGAGAGGGGAGGGATGTATTGTGGCCAGGGAAACGATGGGGGGGGGGGGGATGACATATTTTAAGTCCACAACAAATAGATAAATATTTGGAAGCGATTCAGACAGACTCTTTCCTCATTCACATATATGGGGAGGAGGCGTAGCACAATCAGATCTCCAGGATTTTATTATTGTAGCCAATCACAATAAAAGAGTTCCAGCTTTCCTGTGGAGCTGATTTCTTGGCCTGGTCTACCTGGGCAGGCTGTCATTTATTTTTTGGGGTGTGTGTGTGTGTGTGTGTATGGTGGGGTCACACATTGAATGCTAAA